CCTGCTCATGGAGGTGGGGAGCTGCAGTAGGGTTGGGCTCTGGGTAGTGCCAACCCTCAGCTCCTGGTCATGGAGGTGGGGAGCTGCAGTAGGGCTGGGCTCTGGGTAGTGCCAACCCTCAGCCCCTGCTCATGGAGGTGGGGATCTGCAGTAGGGCTGGGCTCTGGGTAGTGCCAACCCTCAGCTCCTGGTCATGGAGGTGGGGAGCTGCAGTAGGGTTGGGCTCTGGGTAGTGCCAACCCTCAGCTCCTGGTCATGGAGGTGGGGAGCTGCAGTAGGGTTGGGCTCTGGGTAGTGCCAACCCTCACCTCCCTGCTCATGGTTGGCTCTCGGCTTCTAGCCAGCCATGTTCTGCGGGTTTCTTATGCACCTTAATCCAAATACTTGAAAAAGAAAACTAAAAAGTCTTATTGAACCAATGTCAAACTGCTAATACCTTAAAAACAAAGAGAATTAAGAATGTAGACCCAGAGTTCTCACTTTAATGCTTAGGATTTCTTAGTGAAAATATGCAAAAGAGCCTCCATGTAAGTTACCAGGAACCCTGTTGCAGTGTAACTCTAATTGGCTTCAGGTTACTTTTTTTTCTTAAAAGCAACTTACATGAAATCACCTATTTCTAATCGATCATCACTTCAAAAGACAATAATCTTTCCATTTAAAACTGCAAGTTTTCTAACATGGTAACTAGCAATTTTTATTTTTAAAAAAGCTTGCAAATGCATGTATGATTTCTACTATGTATTATTTCTAATATGTCAAATATATTTACATTCCACCTGTAGATTCTGAAGGCTTGCTATGGTTAGTAATGATCAATCTAGGGATTTCTTGTTTTTACTATGTGATAATATAGAGTATACAATCTCTGTTACATTTTCAAGGGAAGCTGTTAAATTGACTCCTGAAGCTACTGTTTTGGAACAACACGCTCTCATCGAAGGTATAAAAAAATAGCACCAAACAGTCATAAAACAGACATGGCCACTCTTCACTAGAAGGCTGTACTAAGAGTGGTGCCCTGCAGGGCAGACAGAGGCTTTCAGGTCCAGAAGGATGATGTCCCAGGTGGGGCCTGTGCTTTAAAGTACAGATGACTCTTCCTTCCTGAGTCTCATGGGGGTCAAATTAACTCCACTTCCTGTGGTCTAGACACTAACGGTACAGGTAAACCTACTTCGGTGTCTCCTTTCAATATTAGTAAAAACTCATAGCAAAACAGTTGGTAACACATTTGCACTGCTGCACTGTCTGCCATGACTGAGAAATAGCGCTTCTAGCTGGGTGCAGTGGTGCATACTGAGGTGCACTGTGCATGCACGTGCATGGTGTGTGTGTGTGTGTGTGTGTGTGTGTGTGTGTGTCCGCGCACGCGCCTGCACGTGTGAATATATAAGTAAGCAGAGAGATAGAGATACACTGTTCCTAGAAGCCAGGACAAAGTCTGATCCTGAGTTCATTTTTCCATTCAAAAAATTATCTTCTGGCAGTGCTGAAGGCACACACCTACTCAAGAAAGATGGATCTGAGGATCATGCTCAAAGAACCAGAAGGAAAGTCCGTGAGACTGTGAGATTCTTATCTCCAATTAACCAACAAAAATACGGAAGTGGGTACAGTGCCAGCTTTGAGCAAAAAAGCCAAGTGAGATTATGAGGCCCTAAATTTAAGCTACAACACTCACACACACGCGCGCGCGCACACACACACACACACACTCACACACACACGCGCGCGCACTCACACACACTCACACACACGCGTGCACACACACATATGCGCGCGCACACACACATGCACACACACACACACACGTAATTTTCTAAATCTTGAAACTGTCTCCAATCTCACAAGCATGTTTTCCGAATCTAAAGTAAATACACGGGGAACAAAAAGCACAAAGTGCCTATGTGGAATTTACGAAGGTGCTAGACAAATTCTAGGTACCTGAGAATAGCCCGTGGGAGAACCCATGCAGGCTGGAAGCCTGAACATTACCCATGTGATAGTGTGCACTAAACTTGTTCACATTTCTGAAACTCCGTCAACTACCCTTTCGTCCTCACTCCTTACCTTCACTCACTAGGACCCCATACTATAATCAGCAGGAGATAAAAACTTCCTCTTTTTTTGAACCACATTCTTATATTGTCCCATTAAGGAAGAGAAAGAGACTCTTAAGAGTAGTCCTTCCACTGGGCTCCGGTGGCTCACGCCTGTAACCCTAGCTACTCAGGCAGCTGAGATCTGAGGATCACAGTTCAAAGCCAGCCAGGGCAAGAAAGACTATGAGACTCCTATTTCCAATAAACCACCAGAAAACCGGAAGTTCCACTGTGGCTCAAGTGGTAGAGCGCTTACTTGAGCTGAAGAGCTGAGGGACAGCGCCCAGGCCCAGAGTTCAAGCCCCACACCCCCCCTCAAAAAAAAAGCCCTTCCTAAGGTCAATATTGTATTAGCATTAGTTCCCATATTGAAAATTTACTCTAAATTATACTCATGGTAAAGAAGGGTCTGGGACAACTAGTAGTGGAAAGGTATTTTAAAATTGTACCCTGTAACACCAATTGTTTAGTGGCCCTGTTATAACTGCACAATAGTTGAATTATGTCATGACTCAATGTGGCAAGGCTGTTGAAAATCACCAAGCTCTCTCCTGTAATGAAGTGGACGATCTCCTTAGAATACTAAAAGCTGGATCAGCTTTGCAACTACGGTCACATGAACAACAGAATGAAGAAGCCAATGTTTACTGTCTTGTTCAAACACCCTGATGACCAGACACAGGCACCAGGTATGTGGTACTGAGGAATCGAACCCAGGGCTTCATGCATGCAGGGCAAGCACTTTACCACTAAGCCACATTCCCAGCCTTAGCCCAATTTTCATTTAAAAAAACAAAGCCTGACTCACTTCAAATTTAACACACCTCCCTGTTAAGACTCTAACATTAAATGTACGACCCAGTTTTCTCCATGTGTTTGCCATCTAATTATTAAATTCCAATGGTCCAAACCAGGCCCATCTCAACTACAAGTCCTCCGTGCAAGTTCAATGTTCTCATTCCCTCTAACATCCATTCCCTGAGAGAGGAAGAGACTCAGGAACACTACACGGTGCTTACAGCACTGACATTGGTGTTTATTATTTTATAAACTTTTGTCTCTCTGTCCTGTACCCCAAAGCTCTTACTCATCTGTACAAACCAAAAATACCCACCTCCACAGAGTGCACATAAAAAAGTACTTGGTAAATGACTTTCAAATTGAAGCAGGAAAACATATTTAGACATCAGCTTCGGTCATTCAAATGCTTTTCATGAGAAGATGCTAATATAGAAAATTCTGCTAAAGCTAGCAAGCCTATAATATCACACCATAAACTTGGACATTAGTATATAAGCTAGCTGATCAGAATTCTAACAAACACAGCAGCAAATGCAAAAACTTACCTATTGCCATTATGGGTATGCCAGAAAAGTAGGCGGCTGGCCAGACCCCCATGAATGACCTTATGATAAAATGACCAGTTATAAACTTATGGGAGCGATGACTTACCAGGGGTATAGGAAAATGTGTTGCGTACTGCAAGTGACGGAGGAGGTCATAATTAGATGGAAAAATTAAGTCTCTTGGTTTTTCTCTCTTCATGAATTTCTCACCATTCACCGACATCCTTCCGCCCAAGGAAGAGTTGACATTTTCACAGGACTCTCCAGGCATGGGAGAAAAAATCTAAGTCATGTAAAGCAAACATTAGAGATTGTAAGTTAAAGAGGACAACAGCAAATCACAGAGCTACATACTAGCGCTTCAGAATAATGCCTTTTAGAATAACGCCTTTTCCTATGCAACTACTGAGCAAAGCTATGTAGAAATTCTGTTAATTTCAACAGAATTCACAGTCAGAACAGCAGGAGTCTGTCAGGATCATGACTCCACATTAGAAGATAGAAAAATGAAAAACACAGGTAAAAAGAAAAAAAATGGGTCCACACCTCCCCAGGGGCCAAAGATAAAAGGTGACATATCCTTCAAAAACATACCCATATAATAATTAACTCATAAGACACATCAAGGTTTCCATCTGCACCCCAGACATTTCTGTAGAGTTACACACCGAGATTCATAACACACATCACAACAATCCTGAATGAGTGTGCAAGTATGGAGCCAAGGAAGCTATTCTCTAGAAGCTCAAGACACGTGCAGCACATCAACACGGCCCATCATGGTGAAACGGCACCCTCACACCTGAGAGACGATGATCCCAAAAGGAACAAAAGTGTAAACACATAGTCCACTGGGAAACGGGAGTGATGGTATGCAAAGGAGGGAAAGCAACCAAAACTACAGGTGAGCTGAGGTGAGACAGTAGCACGCCACGACCCTTGTGACTTAGGGTGGAGAATGACAGCATCTGCTTATCCCACAAGCACCAAAGTCATCCTCAAACACAGGACAAGAAATAAAAAGGACGAAAAAAAAAAAAAAGAAAATAAAAAGGACGGAGACAAGAGTGGGTGGGTAAATGCCAGTAAGAATTGAAGATTGAACCTACTGGAAACTCCGAACCAAAGTCAGTTTTAAAGTCACTCTTGTCTACTTCATCAAAAATGTTAGTGGCTCCTGAGTCAAGACCCATATGCGCCATAATACTCTGTTCCTGGTGATTGCCAGAGAAAGAAAGTCACATTGTAAATGCTGCAGCTTGAGAGAGCGAGGCTAGGAGGTGGCGCAGCTCAAAACAAATGGACTCAACACCTGACTGACGTAACTGTAGCCCCTCTGCTCGTCACCTTACAATCAGTTTTTTTTTTAAGTGACGCTACACCCTGACAGTGAGATCTTTAAACCCCCTCCCCCAACAATGTCTTTCTTTCGCATTGCTTTAAACAGGCACAATTAGACCCCTCCCAGGAGGAAATTCTAACTTTCAGAACACTTTAAGGAAAGAGCACATAGCTTTCTGATATAAAAGCAAACTGTCCATAATTTCTCCTTTGTCAGGCTGTTCTCAGTCACAAGCTCATCAACTTCACTTAGCATGGAAAACCCAAGACTGTAACTAAGATGTAAGATACCTAGATTATTCAATAACAGAAAATAAAAAGGAGGAGCTTTAAAAACAAGCAAACCTACTCTGGTGAACAAATTAAGAAAAAATGTATTTATTAAAAAAACCAACATTTAAAATCCTGTACATTTGAGGATACAACAAATCTTTAACATTTTCAACTTCCCATTTCTATGATTTATCCTCTTTTTTACTTGAAATTTGAAATATCTGGAACCATGTCCAAAATAGCAGCATTTGACAGAGATGCCACAGTATAAATAATAAGACATTTGAGAAACAGAGATTAAATTTTTAATTAATTGAAAAATAAGATAGCTTCTGACTGAAACATCATTTCCCACTATGTATAAAAGAGTGATATACGTAATGAACAATACATTGGGGAAAAAATGCTCCTTAGAATGAAAATTCAAATGGACTTTTTGGTCAAAGCAGATTCAGTCTGGAGTACAAGATTAAAAGAAAACTAGAAGCTAGAAATAGATAACACTTGAAGCATATCAATTTAATCTATAACATCATTTTTTACAGCTGGCCATGTATCTCTTCATTAAACAGTCTTGTGATACACAAAAGAAAATTCTGGAAGGCAGAGTTTAAATGACCTTTCTGAGTGAAGAGGAGAAAGTACACAACTAAAACTCAATCACCATTAGATCACCAAACTAGCCACTGGAGAAGGTGGTGTGGGCTGGAGGTGAGCATTGCTCACGGGCCGTACCTCCATCCTCCCGTCACGGTCCTTCAAACAGTGCTCATCCATGTGGTCTCCCGCTGGGGACTGCGGTCCAGTGACTGACAGGTCTCCTCGGGAGATGAGGGTGCACATGTAGGCATCATGGGAGAAGACATCATGGCGGATGAACTCACAGAAGAGCAGCACCAGGTTCACAAATTCCACCTTCTCACGCTCACTGCTGGGATCCGCTGAGGACACACAAAATCAATCAGGAAAACACCAACCGCTAAGTCCTAATCACATGTTCCTGCCCTTCATAAGCAACCTTTCTTTTTTCTTAAAACTTCCTGTAATATCTGTGAGGCACCAGCATTTTGCACAGAGCTGACAAGCAGACTCTGAGTGCTCAAACTCCAGGCACAGTTTCTAGTTTAATGACAGCAGTCTCAGCAAATGAGTGCACATAATAATGTGATTATGAAGCACAGCAGACTGCTCTCATCTCAATTTGCCAGTTAGTTTGTGACTATTTATATACCTTCCCTGCATCCGCCTATTTGTGGGATATGTATGTAAATTCTTCAAAGAAGAATTTAACTTTTAAATAGTATTATGGAAAAAAAACAGTAAATATGATCCACTGAGGTTAAAAAAAAAAACACCACAGAAGTAAAAGGACAGAGATGACAGTTTTTAGCTTTTCATTAAATAATTCACATAGTCCATCTATGTAACACATATCGTGACTTTTAATATCGGAACTATATTCTGAGGCTTTTGGGGGGGATAATCTAAAACATTCAAGACTAAGCCTGCAGCACCTATTTACTGGCATCATTACATTCACAAACACCAATGGGAGAGAGATTTATCCACAGCACTGATCTCACGCTAACTTTGACCTAACTGTCTCCTGCTAACCATTATCACAGTGACAAACAGCCTTTGTGTCAGTTATGGGACTTGAACTCAGGACCTGGGCACTGTCCCTGAGCCTCTCTGTGCTCAAGACTAGTGCTCTACTACTTCTGGTTTTTGAGTGGTTAAGTAAGAGTCTCATGCAGACTTTTCTGCCTGGGCTGGCTTTGAACTTCGATCCTCAGATCTCAGCCTCCTGAATAGCTAATATTACAGGCATGAGCCACCAGTGCCTGGCTACAAACAGCCTCTTCACAGAAGAAAGAACAGCTGTTTCCACAGGCTTGCTAAGGACAGGAGGAGACGATGAAGGGGCAGCGTACAACCCTGGGACTTGGGGTGCGAGAGGCAGAGCTGCCGGCTGATGTGCGGGCCACAGGATCTCCGCCACCCTTCCCTTTTCTGCATTACCTACTCTCCACGTTCCACTGTCCAGGTGCTCTAGTACTTTCACTCTCCTCCCATGCCAGAAAGCCACCACACCTCCTCCCCTCCCCTCCTCACGCCCCCCCTCCCCATTCACCTGCCGCCCCTCCCTGCTCTTATTCCTTGCTCCCTTTCTCTCATTCGTCCCTCCTCTCCCTAATGCTTGCTTCCCTCCCCTGCCCTTTTTCTCCTTTTAGCTTTCAATGTATCTGTTGTTTTCTAACTACCTAAGACCTTCTCCTGGATTCTGTCATATGAAAACCTGAGTTTTCACAGGCACTAGTATCGCTTTCACAAATGTTTTTCAAAGCTTACCCACTCTTAAAACAAACCTATTAGGTGGTTGCTTATTCCTCAAAATTTGAATTCCACCAACAATAAAGAAATGACAGAAAAATAGCTAGAGATGACATGAATGTCTAAGACAACATAATGAGGCATCTTTTTTCCCTTTGGGGGAAAAATGCTACTAATGTGAGCTCACTGAAGCATACATTATATTCAGTGCCAACAACTTTAGAGACAAAGAAGAAAAAGAAAAAATTATATAGGCATGCATGCGCACACGTATATACATGTCCACACACAGGTGTGCAGACTCAATCTCTTATCTAAAAAGTAAACTTCACTTACACAATGAGGGAGCCTGTGTATCTAAAAACCTTAGAAGAACATTCTGGAAAACAGGCAAACTGGACCCAGTAAGAGAGGCTGAAGAAATAGACTCCTTCTCATCGAGAGCTTCAGACTCACCACATCTCTGCCGGTTAAAAACAAAAAGCTAGGGTTAATTACAGCAGTAACGAATTTGTCCATTTTTATTAACATTGGAGTTCCAAGATGAAACAGAAAATGACTTTAGATTTCTTTATTTACTTCAGAATCATGTGTCAAAGGTGAATATAATTTCTAAGAGTTGGAAAGAACAACCCAGAAGCATTCACCGCTTTTAGAGAAGTCTCAGAAGACAGCCAGGCCTGCCCTGCACTGTGTGGTGACGGAGGGCATGCTCCTATCCCTGGGCAAAACCACTCAAAATCACCTTGGCACGTCTCCATGCTGAAGGGCTCAAGTTGAAACGCACTCTCCCAAACTATTTGGCACGCATTACTTAATTTGACTATTTTGTGTTTTTGCACTTTTGTCAGGAAGGGGTACTAACGAGTGCATTTGGAGCATCAAATGAGAAAGCAAACCTAATTCTAATATTCTTTTGTGAGTTTAGGGTGGTTCAAATGGCAGGGTGCCTGCCTGGCAAATACAAGGGTCTGAATTCAATCTTAGTAGCACAGTAATAAAGAAAATTGTGGGTAAAATGTATTCACTGACAGTGAGATGGAACATCTTATGATACACAGCTCCAAAGCTTCCATAGTAACTGACACTTTCTTAAACTCTGAGTTTACTAGAAGATCAGGACCAAGGCAGTTTAGAAACATTCATAATCTTGTTTTCTATTCTTTGTAAAATTCCTTTGATCATCCATTTTCGTTACTTACCTTTTTTTTTCTTTTTTGCTCAAGGAGAACGTTGTACCACTTGAGCCACAGAGCCACTTACAGTTTATTCTGTGTATGTAGTACTGAGGAATCGAACACAGGTCTTCATGCATACTAGGCAAGCACTCTACCACTATGCCACAGGCTCAGCCCCGACTTACACTTTAACATATTCATCATACTGAATAAGATTACTAAGATATTGTTTATCCAAACCTCTAGGTTTAAAGGTCAAATTTTTAAATTTTGCTTGATATTATCTTAAACAATTCTGAGAAAAATATGTCTTTAGAAAAGGGTACCTTTAAGGCCTATTAAAATTACTAGGCAACCTACGAGTGAAAGCCCTTCTAAAAGCATCCTGCACACAGGTGCTGGGGCACACACATACACGTTCTGGGAAAAGAGGTGTAAAAGAGAAGCAACCTTACAGAGGCAATGAATACCGGCAGGATTCAAGTTCCACTACTGGAGTTTGTCTCCGAGTAGTCACTTGTAACATACAGGAAGAAGCAGCGAAGGCTATTTCTAATGTGTTCAGTATGTAACAGGTTGACTGCTATACCTTGGCAGCAGTATTTTCTTTTTTCTTGTCAATACTGGGGGTTTGAATATTTTCAAGTTCTAATTTCAACAATGTGCTCTTTTGTTTTTGGTGAGCATAGCATTCCTAACAGGAGGAAACACCTGTAAAATGTTCTTTCCATTTCATTTTTTAAGAGCTTCACAGAAGTCAATGTGTTATCCACAACACAGAGAGTTTCCACGGTTCACTGAGCGTGTTCTGGGGGTCAAGGGCAAAACCCTGAATGGGCAGGCAAGTTCACTGAATGAAACAACAAGCAAAGTAGCTAGAGTGATGTGTTGTATAATGAGGAGGAGAGTGTCTGAGGAGTCTCGGAGGCAGGCTTCAGAACCAGTGGTCAGGACTTCCCTGGCTTGGGGACTGGTTGCCTAGAAACCTGCTCAGCAGGCAATGCTCCTGAAACAGGAGCACCACAGGCAAGTCTGCATGCCAAGTCTGGGGAGAAGAATCTGCCTTAGAGAAGAAACATCAAGGGCAAACGCCCCAAAGTGCAAGTGAGTTTTCTGTGTTGGGGGAACACAAGGAACAACTTTAGGGCTAGAGCCAAGACCAGGAGATACAGGTAAGCAAAAAGGGCCAGGCCATGGTAATAATACTCTCTAGTGATCTAGTTACATCTCTAAAAGATCATTTTGGGTCCTGCACAGAGGATGGTGGAAAGGAAGAGGGAAGCAGAGAAATTCAGGAGGCCAGGAAGTTCTCCACGTGGTATGTCTGAGGACCTCAGCACACCACACACCTTCCCTGTAGCCATCTCTGCCAATGCTATGGCAGAGAAGGAAGCTTGTCTGGAAATCCCCCTTCCACAAAAGCTACTGTTGATGAAGTTAGCTAAGAGTTTCTCCTTTGGGGCTGGGAAGGTGGCTCAGTGGTAAAGTGCTTGCCTTGCATGCATGAGGCCTTGGGTTTGATTCCTCACCACATAAGCAGAAAAAGCCGGAAGTGGTGCTGTGGCTCAAGTGGTAGAGCGCTAGCCTTGAGCTGAAGAGCTGAGGGACAGTGCCCAGGCCCAGAGTTCAGGCCTCATGACCAGACCCAAAAAAAAAAAAAAAAAGAGTTTCTCCTTTATAATGAACATCTGAAGTTTAAATGGCTCTGCCTAACACAGGCAAATATACTCTCAAAAATATAAACTGGGGCTGGGAAGGTGGCTCAGTGGTGGAGCACTTGCCTTGCATGCATGAGGCCCTGGGTTCAACTCCTCAGCACCACATAAGCAGAAAAAAAAAAGCTGGAAGTGGCACTGTGGCTCAAGTGGTAGAATACTACCCTTGAGCAAAAGGAGCTCAGGGACAGTGCCCAGGCCCTGAGTTCAAGCCCCAGGGCTGGCAAAAAAAAAAAAAAGACATCTTCTTTAGATTGATACCCCTTCCCTTTTATCAAGAGAAAAGAAAAGGTGAGTATAGTAAGGGTAAAAGAGAAGTCACCCTCCTGCAGTAGTGTGTTAACCTTATGAGATCCAATAAACAGAAAGAAAAACTTACCTCTGCCTCAATTTCTGCTTGTCTCTTCTCCAAGAGTTTGGCCACAGCCATGGCCCTGTGCTTGCCTGAGCGTTTGCAGCTCACAGCCCATTCACATAACAGTGTCACCACAGCTTCATCATTGGGAGCAACCTGAGGACCAGGGCAAAGAAAACCCACAAAGTCAAATGCTCCTTCACTCAACAGGAAGCGGGGAAGGGAAACAACAAAATGCTGAAACAAGGATACAGGTTGACCCATTGTAGCAATGAGATGTATAAGACACTATGTTGAGAACCAACTTTACAACTTGGAGGGGCGGGGGGGGGGGGGAAGGAGGAGTTGGGGAGGTGGGAAGAAGGGATGGTTAACAATGCTCAATAAGAAATGTACTCATGACCTCACTCATGTAACTGTAACCCCTCTGTACAGTATTTTCACAATAAAAATATATATGAAAAGTCAGGGAGCGAGCAACTTCTGTTTCTGAAGCCTTAAAGCTTGCTTGCCATATTTCATTACAGCAGTGTTAGGAACTGGGCCCAAATAATTTTTAACTGAGGTATAAAGAGTAAAACTTTAGCCATGAAAAAGGAAGTATCAGTTACAATAAATTTTTGACAATTCTCGGAGAATTACTTTCCTTGTAGGCAGATGCCTTTACACACAGCCATAACCCAGCCCACCAGTCCCCTAGAACTCAATTTCAAATCCACACAAAAAGAGAAATGAGCAATAAAAACAGCTGCTAAAAAGTCTACATACTTCACTGTGAACACCGAGCCCTCAATTACCACCTCATCCTACCCACAATCCTGTTAGAAATCAGGTGACCGGGGGAGCCAGAAGGCTGACAGGAGACCCATCCCTCAGGAACAGCAAATGCAAGGAGTGGAAGCCAAGCATCAAAAAGGAACAACTGCTTTTAAGCAGGCCAGGCCGGCAAGCAGCATAGGACCACGCAGAGTACGCCAGTGCCCCTCATCACGGGCACTAGAGGTAGGCAGCCGTGACGGGGTGAGGAACTCAGGGACCCAGGTGACAGGAGCAGCAGCTGGAGGACAGCAGAGACGCTGCTTCTCTGCTTCCCTTGGAGTGCACACACCAAGCGCTGGAACACCAACTGCAAAGTTGTATTCAATGTCTTCCCATGTGTGAACCTTATGCCAGACACAACGCATGATCACAGTTTCCCCTCCAATGCCATGTGAGCAGTTCTCAACATTGCAGAATCTCAAGTTCGGGGAAGAGGACAATGCAGCTACAAGTGCACTTCTGGAAGAAAATTCACACACCTCTAGCCCAAGGTTTCCTGTGGATTCTGAGAAGAAACAGCAAATACTTCATATTGTGAAATCAGTTTACTCCAAACCTATTTATTCACCCTGCCCTCAACTTAAAAACACATGTTGACTCAAAGCAAGTTATTATCTGGAGCAGATACCTCCAAGGGAGCCCCGGGTCTCTTCATTCAACTAACGTATGCAAACTTCTAGTATGGCACTGAAAGCAGAGACACAACTGAGAAGCAGGAGCTGACACTGCCCACATCAGGGTGGGCCTGGGGCCTGCTGCCACCCACTATCTGTGGGATGCACTCTTTTGTTTAGCTTATCCACTCTCCTTCCCCGTTCTCCAGTGCATCAGGGGTGGGCCTGGAGCCTGCTGTCACCCACTATCTGTGGAATGCATTCTTTTGTTTAGCTTATCCGCTCTCCTTCCCTGTTCTCCAGTGCAGAAGAGGCACAGACTAGGGCTGTGCCTCAGTGGCAACAATGACAGGAAATGTACTCATTACCTTGGTCATGTAACTTATTAAAAAAAAACTTGCTGAATAAGTAACCATAAAGGTTTTAGCATTTTTTTCTGCCAACTACAACACCCAAGCCGTGGTACATAAGGCAGTGAGAGAGAGGGCTAAAAACAGTGTGTTCCACAGGGAGAGGGCGAGTCGGAGCACTGGGCACAACTGCCCTCACTCCAGTGACCACGCGCAAGTCCCAGTTGTCCCATGGCTTCATCTGACGCATCACAGTTCCCAACTGGCTTTCTCCTAATAACGAAAGCAATCACACCCATCTGAACCTAGTACCCCTGTCTCCTTCGCTCTGCACAGATGACCTCCCTACTCCCTACAAGGAAGTAGAGAAGACCAGACGTTACATCAGCAGTTCCAAAGAAAAGAGAAGGGAGAGGGTGAAGTGGGAGTTTCCCAAGCAGTAGTGGTGAAGTAGGCTGTGCTAGCCAGAGCCGCAGCAGTCCTCGACACCGCTTCCGGTACAAGCAAGCTCAAAGCCACTTCAGCCCCCTGCCTTGGTTCACATACCAGCTCCATCATCTTGGCTTCTCAGATATAACACTGGTAACAGTGGCTATTTTACTTTTATTCACAACAGCACCTTCTGTCACAGTCCTCAAAATGCCGTTTCCTTCGAGATGAACATGGTAGGCACTGTACTTATTAACAAATGAGGGTGCTGGACACACATTCTGCAGTCAGCCGGCTCAAGGTCACACGGAGATGCTGTGGCTCACACACAGACCTACACATTCATTCAGTGACTCTGCTGTGGAAACCACAGTAAAAGTAAACGGAAGGACAAAACGTCATCATTTCCAAACCATGTTTTAAAGTAATTCAGTGTTACATATTACAGACGGTCTGGTCACTCAGGTTATTTTTGTGGCCAAATAGGTGATCTGTCTGGTTACAAACAAAAAATCTATTTTATCCTCTCACAGAACAACACGTTAACCACAAAATCATGGTGCACTTGCACGCACCGTCTCTTTCCAGTCAGCCAGGGTCCCATGAGAGGCCTGCTGGTGCCTTGGTCTCAGTCCTGGGCACACACTGCCCTCTGGTGGGCTTTTCTGGGAAAAACTCTCTATGTACATATTACCTACACCACCACAATAGTTTTGTCTATTATAAACTTTTAGATGACTGCAGGTGTAGGGTTTTATTTGGGGGGGGGTTCTAATCTATTCCATTGATCATTGTGTCTATTTTTGTGCCAATACCAAGCTGTTTTTGTTATTATGGCCCTGAAGTAGAATTTGAGATCTGGTATTGTGATACGACTCGCATTGGTTTTACTTTTTTCTTTTTTTTCTCTTTTGCCTACAATTGTTTTGTTGTCTTCGGCTGTTCTCTGTGTTTGGATTGTTTTCTCTATATCTGTTAAGAACGTCATTGAGATTTTGATGGGGATTGCACTGAATTTGTATATCCTCTTTGGCAGTGTGGCCATTTTCACAATATTGATTCTACCTATCCCTGAACATGGAAGGCCTTTCCACTTCCTGGTGTCCTCTTTGATTTCTTTAAATGTAGTAAAGGGCTGGGAAGGTGGCTCAGTGGTAGAGCGCTTGCCTTGCATGCATGAGGCCCTGGGTTTGATTCCTCAGCACCACATAAGCAAAAAAAAAAAAGCCAGAAGTAGTGCTGTGGCTCAAGGGGTAGAGCGCTAGCCTTGAGCTGAAGAGCTGAGGGACAGCGCCCAGGCCCAGAGTTCAGGCCCCACAACTGGACCAAAAAAAAAAAATGTAGTAGAAACAGAAGTTTAATGTCTACCAAAGTGAAATGCTTCATTCCTCACTTAAGATAGATGAGCTTTAGTGAAAACCATGAAGAGGGTGTGATTTATTAAAAAAAATATCACAGCATACAATTTGCCTTGCTGTTCAGAAACATAACAACACAATTTCTGACCTTGTTTTCAGTTTCCCCTGAAACACCTGTGGACAATGTGAATTTCCTTGAGAGAACGAGGCAATGGTTCTGAAGCTGGATGTAACAGTCAAGTAACAACAGGCTGAAGTACTCTGATGGATTTGGCAACTTAGCACAGAAACTCAGCAAACCTCCCTATGAAAAAAACAGAGTGCTTTCCAAGCCCTTTTATCTAAGAACACCCTATCACAGAGACAGCTGCACAGCACCTATCCGGACTTGGCCTCAGTGAGCAGAGAACTTTGCAGAACAGTATCAGCCTGCTCTCTTGTGCGTGTCAACAGAGTCAGTCACAAGAGGCAGAGCCTCCAGTCTGTACCTTGCTCCATCTGATGCTGGACCCTCCCTACTTGACACCTACAGTCTTGATCCTGGTCTGTAAGCCCTTCTTAGAAGGCTGCTATGGGTATCAGGCTCACATAAGGCAGGAGTAGTCAAGGTTCAGGCCTTTTGTTGCTTCACCTTTCATTTCCACACAAGCCCCCAGAAAAGAAGTCTGTCTCCAAGAAGATTCCGACAACACTTCCTTGAGTTTGCACCTGCCCCCCACACCTGCCATCCTCAAGCCAAACCAATAGCACTGTCTCCTCTGTCAAGCTAGAGAAGTATACATAAAAAAACACACACACACACACACAAAACACACAGCTTTCTTTATTGGTTCTGAATCTCTGTATTTAAAGATTTCTCAGACAATTACCACAAATTTTCACAGACTGCCTTCTGCTATCAATATACCTTCCCTCTAAATTAAGCCAAAGCATGTTTGTATAAAGTCCAATCATGAAACTATAGCAAGCTAAAACTAAAATGAAGAGGGATGGTAAAAGATCCAAGAGAAATCTTTCCCACTGGTCTCTTGACACAGTCAGCCAAATATGGCTGATTTTTGACTCGTCCAACAGAGAAAGACCTCCAAGGCCACGCACTTCCTAAGACATCATACACGTCACAGAAAAAGCTGTCCGAGATTAAAGAAAGAGAAAGAAATAAGCAAGCGTCTCTTTTTGTCCTGTTTGTTTGTACGAGGAGGTAAGCAAGGGCACAGAAATGGAAGGACAAAGGGTAAACAAATGCAGCAGTGACATAGTGTCACTAGACACTAGCATGAAGATGAAGGATAAACTTGTGGATAGGGACAGGAGAGAAAAACAAAGAAGGGGTGAAGGAAGGGGTGACACTGTGCGAAAAGAAATGTACACATTACCTGACTTATAAAATGGTAATAACAACCAGAAAATATTTAATTAAAAGAAGCTAAGGAAACAAAAGGCAAAAGAAGAAATAAAATATTAACTATACCTCCTGGTTGTCTTTGTTTTGGTTTGCCCAGAAAACCTTATGATAAAGTGTCTCCATTGAATTGCTGGGATCAGTTCGGTCAAAACAGTGACGATCCAAGACCTCCAGTGTGTGCAAAACCCGACCAATTGTCACCCCTAGAGACAGAAAGTAAGCAGGCAGCTAAAACAGACCAAGTGAAGCCAGATAGCGGAGTGTAAAATCATCACTATGTAAGGCATATGTATCATTCTCAGCATATACTAAGAAGCAAAGAACTGCCAACACCACCCAACAGGACCTTCCCCACACAGCCATAGCCGAGGAATGGCCTCAAATCGATGCTTCCTTTATTCACGTGGTTGTCCAACACGCCAAAGCACTCACTCTTTTGTCGTGTTCTGTACCTGCTGTTGACTCTTGGCACTTGTCAAAAGACCACCGAACTTCCACTGCACGGCCTCTTTGTTTTATCTGCTGCTCAACCTCATAAATCCTTGCCCGAACCTGAAAGATAATTGCTTCTAATTAACTTGTGCTTCAGGCGCCACAGTGGCTGTCTAAAAATCAAGCTTTTCTGCTAGAATAGAATTCCCTAGAGTGAGCCTCAATCTTCAGTGCAAGGTAGGGAAAAATGCAGAATGCAATCCAAGAAGTTCATTGATTATGTTTTACATTGACACATGGTGACTCAGTGTCAGTTTTGGATATGAAATGTACATGAACACCTAGCCAGGTGCCGGGGACTCACACGTGTAACTACTCAGGAGGCTGAGATCTGAATATCCCAGTTCGAAGCCAGTCTAGGCAGGAAAGTCTCTGAGACTTCTACCTCCAATAAACTCAGAAAAAGCTGGAAGTGGCGTTGTGGCTCAAGTGGTAGAGTGCTAGCCTTGAGCCAAAGAAGCTCATGGACAGCACCCAGGCCCGGAGTTCAAGACAAAGGACTGGCATAACATTTTTTTTAAAAACTACAAAAATATTAATAAGTGAAATATCTCTAGGACACCAAAAAGAAAGGTACAAATTTTAAAATACTCTCGGTAAGCCACTGTCTATTCAAGAAAGCAAACTACCAACATTTATGTAATTTAAAAACTGGTAAAAAGGATCTTACTGTATTATTAGGTTTATTCCAACTCCTGAGGTTCTATTTGCAAGAATCCTTGAAGCAACACAGTACTAATGGTGTAACAGTATCACAAACTGCTATTATGGGAATATGCTCACGTATTAGAATCACGACCAAAGTTATTGTCTGGATGACAGAACTGTCAACAACTACCACCCAGCATGGGAACAAGGAGCAACCCTCAGGAACCTCTGAGGGTCAGAGAGGCAAAAGAAACCCAAGGTGTCCAGGGAGTTAGGGGAAGAGCTGGGAAAGATGCTCAGGTACCCCAGGTGCTAAACTGAGACTTGGGCCGCTGGCCTGACACCTCTGGAGAAAACAAAACAAAACTTCCACCAACCCACTGAAGTGGAGGACTACCTGCTGATTGAAAGCTGTGTTCCCGCCGGGCATGGGGAGGCTGGAGGGCGCCACCTGCAGCAGGTCCAGGGGTGAGCCTGGGGCCGTGCTCTTATTTTCGTTGGAGGAATAGTTCCACACCAAGGCACTTGGGCAACAGAGAGTGACAGTCTAAGAATGGAGCAGGGAAAAATCCAGATACTCAGAGAAAGGAGAAACGTGTAACAAGTTTCACAGTAAATATGACACTTTAGCATCGCTATAGAGTATTCTCCTACTAAAGTACATTATCAACTTTTTCCAAATGGCAAGACAAACTAAGAATTATTAATTTGAAAGGGAAGAAGTATAACCATTGAGAAATTAAGGAGTAGTAACATTTATTAGCTATCTTCCAGCATTGGAAACTGTCACTTCAAATGACACAGTAATGAGAGCATTTAAGTTCTAAGGTTATAAAATCTAAGTTAATCTCTTTGAAATCAGTCAAGTAGCACAACAAGCCATTTCCTAAATGTGAGGAAGGCAATACCAGAAGTTAGCAAACTTTTGTATGAAAATCCAGACAGCAAATACTTTAAGCTTATGTGTCACACACTCTCCTCTTCTGATATTGTTTTAATAATCCCTTGATTTGTACATTATTTACTGACACAATGTCCTTTATGTGATCAGTCTAATTAGTTAGATGTCACACCATTCTCTGAGCTAGGTGGTATTCCTCCAGTTCTACCAAGCAACAGAAGAGATTTGTCACTGGCTCAAGTCTGGTCCCTGCAACTGTGCTCTGAATCCTTGTGCTACCCTGCTATCCTCTGAACACTTATTCAGCACCCAAGTAGCTGTTGATCACTACAGCCTCCCCCTAGGAGGGAATGGGACAGGAGTTCTCATCCTCCACTAACACATGCGACACGAAGTTGCAGAGAAACATCCGGTCTATGGTGAGTCTCACTACCCACTATGCTACCACACCCCTGTCCACAGTACATGAGCACAGAGAACAAAGGCAATGCAACACATCCTGAGGCCTGAAAGACATCCTTGTGTAGAGTAGATGGCAGATGCAAAGAACTTAAAGTCCCCGAACTCCACCAACACATCTGTCTCCACTAGTCCACACCCCACCGCCTCCCTTCTGCCCAGGCAGGCACAGGCTGTCATTCCTGATCATATGCCTGAAGCCAGCATACCAACAGATGTCCAAGGACCACATAGGCATCAGTGTCTGACAGAGGACCACAGCCCGATAAGCTGTCTGTCCCGAAGAGCAGTAACGCAGCTGACCTTCTGTATGTGTGTTCAGTGAATGATTCTGACTGCCCAGTGGCCTTAACAAAGTACCACTGGGATACCTCCTTCCAAATAGATGCAACAAATCTCAGCCTCCATACAGAGCAATACATTTCAGGAAATTCATTAGACTTAAGACATGATAGCTGAAAGTTCTATTTTCAACCCACTGTTTCCCATGCCAAATTTTAAAATAAACAAGCCGTGGACTTACCTGTAACATACAACTGAGTCCATAAACCAGGGGGCCATGTTGTGCACAGGAAAGGAAGTCCGAGAATGCCAGCTGCACAGGGATCACGCCAGGGCCGGGGGGCCCGGGGCTGGGGGCCCCGATGCCTGCAGTGCCTGGTCCCATCATCATGTGAGGGGAGTGAGCAGCCAGCAGGCTGGGGCTGTCACTCAGCAGCAAAGAGAGACGCCGGGCACAGAAGTAGGCAAGACGTCGGGACAGGTAGGCTGACTGAACAAATTCATCTGAATACTGAGGAAAAGGAGCGCAAATAACCAACACAGACCTGAAACTATGTGGACCAATACCATCCATCAGAAATACAACGTGAGATACATACATAAATTTTCTGATAACTATTTTAAAAATAATAGGCAAAATTAAAAGAGTAATATGTTGTAATTATCCCAATATAACCAAAATGTTATCATCTAAATACAGATCAATCTGAGGAGTATTACCATATACACTTTTTTGCACACTAAATCTATAACCTGATGTATGCTCTAAACACAGTTCACACTGAGCACACTTCCAGTCCAGTGCTCGGCTGCCCCTTAGGAGAGGGCACAGCACTACAGTTCCAGCGAGAACTGGGGTTCACCAGATACTCTTCCATATCACATGCTCATCACATGCAGGTACTCCTCCAGGAAGAAAAGTTTTGACAAGACTCACCCAGATAACCTCAACTTTCACAGTTCTCAGACAAATCATTATATTCTTTAAATGAGGTAATTTGTTTTCTTTTCACAGTCTTTGTGAACAAGGATACAGTATGTAAAGAACTGCTTGCTTAGTACAGACATAGGAAAGAAAGAGTGTGGATGAGATTACATGAAGATGAAAGCCACAAAGTTAGTTAACACAAATGCTGCAATCCAGTAGAAGCATCTCATGACTTCATAGATCAGAGCATTTAAGATGTTTTTCCTTCTGTTTCAACAGGAATGTTTTTCTATCCCTCATGACTTAGCTAGTCATTCTTATTAGTCTCATGTTCTGCCCATAAAAATCAACTGGCTCAGGGCTGGGAAGGTGGCTCAGTGGTAGAGCGCTTGCCTTGAATGCCAGAGGCCCTGGGTTCAATTCCTCAGCACCACATAAGCAAAAAAAGAAAAAAGCCGGAAGTGGCACTGTGGCTCAAGTGGTAGAGCTCTAGCCTTGAGCTGAAGAGCTGAAGGACAGCACCCAGGCCAAGTTCAGGCCCCACGACCGACAAAAAAAATCAACTGGCTCAAGGTGGCATGTACCATACCTGCAACATTAGTGGTAACAAGAGTTTAAGAAGATCGTCATCCATTGGTCTGATTTTCTCTAGAACATCCAAGATCCATGTAAGATATTCATGCTTTTCCAGCATTCCTTCCTTAAATGAGCAAAAATAGTACAATAACAATGTTAAAGAAAAACTAAGTTTTGAAAGGGACATTATCCTTCTTTTGCTTAAGTGTAACTGAACCATTGTTTTACTAATAGAGTAAGACATGGTTTCACTAATCACAGTCCCAATTCTAAATATATTTCATATATTTGGTTTGGGGTTTTTGCTCCTTTTATTTGGTAATCTGCTTCACTCTAAACAGTAAATTTAACAAAAACTGAAAAATAAGGAAACTCAGAAAGTATCATACTCCCAGGACAAATTGGACTCTGGCAAGATTTTAATTGAGGGAATGTGAATGAACTTAAGCTCACAGAGGAGATCTGGAACCGGTGATAACTATAAACAAAAGCACTGCTCAAGTATATTATCATCTCAACAAAACCTGTACCCTTAGGAGCCTTCCTCGCTATTCTAAAGTGACTGGGATTACAGCCTACATATAAAAATAAAACCTTACAGAGTGCTAGACTTGAGCAAAAGCAGCTCAGGGACAGCATCTAGACTCTGAGTTCAAGCCCCAGGACTAGCAAAATAGATAAAACTTAAAAATCAATTTAATGCAGGATGCTGGCAGCTCACACCTATAATCCTAGCTACTCAGGAGCCTGAGATCTGAGAACTATGGCTCAAAGACAGCCCAGGCAGAAATGTCATATCCTCCAATTAACCACTCAAAAACCACAAGTGAAGCAAAAAGAGCCATGAGTTGAAGCCCCATGGCTGACAGAAAAGAAAAAACAAAACAATCACTTCAGTAATTATATAAAGAAATAGGGGAAATGCACAATAAAATCATATGTAAGTAGTCCAACATAATCATTCTAAAAAGTACCATTTCTACAGATCTTCAAATCCCCCTGGGCGGAGGCGCTCCACCCATCCCCTGCTTTAAACCCACACACTAGAGCTGTGCCCAGGCTAGCCAAGGGCTCTTGTGTGACATCCCCAGCCATGCCACTCATCTTGGCCAACACTGTAAGCATCCAGTATCAGCATTCTTCATCCACTACCTTCATACACATACACACAGAAATAAATGCATTGTTTCATGGCATTCTGAGTGTCTATATTCGACGTCACAATATACTTTTGTACTATGATTCAAGAATGAATCTTCTAAACAGAAACAAAGAGCTGTGATTTCTTACGAAGACACCCTGGCAACCAACTTAGTAATTAATTAGGAATTCTGCCCTGTTCCTGGTAACTTTTATGTATTACTAGTGATCTACTACAATGGTTATTGAGACTTTATATAAAAACATTTAGCTGATAAGCTATAGTTGCTGTATTTTTACAATTACAGTAACACTATATTTGACAAGACTTTGAAGAAATATTTACTTGATAATTTCTAGTTTTAAAAATACTGAGAGTAGTCAGGTGCTGGTGGCTCATGTCTATAATCCTAGGTACTCAGGAGGCTGAGATATTAGGATCACAGTTCAAAGTCAGCCCAGGCAGGAAAGTCCATGAGACTCTCATCTCCAATATACACAGAAAAGGCTAGAGTGGTGCTGTGGCTCAAATGGTACAGTGCTAGCTTTGAGCATAAAGAGGATCAAGAACAGAGCCCAAGCCCTGACTTTAAGCCCCCGGACTGGCAAAAAAAAAAAAAAATCAAAAGGGATTAATAGTTTATTTAACAGACAAAAAAGACCTAAGTGGTGCTGTGGCTCAAGCAGTAGAGTGCTCACCTTGAGCTGAAGTGCTGAGGGACAGTGCCCAGGCCCAAAAGTTCAAACCCCATGACCAAAAACAAAAGACCTAAAATGTAAATTAGCTCTTAAATACAAGTCTAAGACATATGTGAACTTTTAATAAAAGAAGATTTGTCGATCTGAATAAACAAACATGTTTAAAATAGATAAAGCAGAATTTTGCATTGAAGTATAAGAGATGGTAAAAATAATCTAGCTACTCAGGAAGCAGATATGTACAGATCTATAGGCAAACTAATCCAATTGGCCAGTAAAAATCGAGAAGTAGAGGCGTGGTTCAAGTGGCAGACTGCCAGCCACAAGCAGAAAAGGTCAAGTGAGCGCTCAAGACAGTGTTAAAAACCAGGCAAAAGAAGGGAGAGGAGAGGGGAGGAGAGGAGAGGAGAGGAGGGGAGGGGAGGGGAGAGGAGTGG